TCAGGGTAATATAGGGATTATTATCTTTAATTTGTTTGGGGTTCTTAAGCAGTTAAGCAAATCTGTTTAGTTTAGGGTTAAGGGTTCAGGAGTGGTTTGGGGCGTCTTCGAGTTTGGAGCGTCAACACCCCCTACATGACCATGACCCCACTCCCGCTCCCACCCTTCCCGACTCCCAACCCTCAACCCTCAACCCTCAACCCTAAACCCTAAACCCTAAACCCTAAACCCAAGTAAGTCGAGAGAGTAGGCATTAATTGACCAGGAAGCGCGGGTTTCAAGAGGCAGCAGTAGGCCATTAGGCAATTCGCCTAGTATGGCCTATGCTTTGCACTAGGACCGTGGCCTGCATCGAGCCCCAAGGGTGAGGCAGTTTGTTTTTTTGTTGTTTTTTAATTGTTTTTATTTACTTAGTTTTAAGTACTTGAGGTATATTTTTTCTAAAGTTGAGTTTATATGTCTACACATTCATTGAAGCCTAACACATAATATCAGTTTAACGAGATTTTGCACGCGAAGGTGAGACTGGCGTGCCAAGAACAAGCAGTAGTAAGAAGGCAGTAGAGTAGTTTAGTGCGTGACCCTGAGCCGTAAACCCAGAACCTTAAACCCTAAACCCTAAACTCTAAACTCTAAACCCTAAACCCTAAACTCTAAACCCCGAATTAAGCCCCAAGCCCTAAGCTCTAAATCCGAAGCCTAAACCCTAAACCCGAAACCACGCGAACCCCTACCCATGTTTGCCCCAGGTGAAGCAGGAGGTGTCAGACATCGATTTCCGCAACAAGCAGGTCCAGGCGGTGGCGGCTTGGGTTCGGGGGTTTAGGGGTTTGGGGTGTGGGGTTTGGGGTTTGGGGTTTAGGGTTTAGGGCTCCGGGTCTTGGGTTTAGGGTTTGTGGCCTTGGGGCTTTGGGGCTTTTGGGGTTTGTGGTGTATTAGGCCTCCATTGGGGTTTAGGATTTCAGGGCTTTACGGTTCCGGGGCTTGCTTTTGTGGTTACTCAGACAGTAGTCCTTACATCACGCTAGCATCCTACTTGCAACGTAAGGAATGCTCTAGGTAGGGCTTTAGGGTCGTCGAACAACAAGGCTGTAGGGTTTTGGAACTTGGGGATTCTTAGGGCTTGGGCGTTGAGCCCTTCGGTTGTAGGGATTTTGCTATCGTTTTACGTTAGGGTTCAGAATTTTCAGTGGTTTGATTAAACGGGGGTGTTATTGCTTTACGACTTTACGACGTTGCGCCATTTGGGTTTTGACATCTTAACGTCTATGATTTAGAGTGTAATGTTGACGTTTAGGATTTGGTAAGGTGTCTCCCACCCCCACCCCAACCACCCCCCTACCCCCCCCCCCCCCCCCCCCCCGCCACCCAACCCACCCCACTTTGGGCGGTAGAAGCTGGGTTTGGAGGCTCATGGGCACTTATGGACGGTTTCCTATCTTAGGGGAGTTCTTTCCACCCTGCCTACCTACAACAAAGCTAGGTCTTCGTTACTTGTTTGCTAGCTTGTCTGAATCTCAAATAAAATAACACCTCCTACTTTGTTGAAGGGTGCAACCCTTACCCTAGGTAGGCTTAGAGTTTAGGGTTCGCAGGATGTACAGATTACTACTATTAGCTTAAGAACCCCAAAAGAATAGAAACTAATGATCCTTATATTGCCCGTATAAGGAAGAATATTTATATGTATATACATACTTTTGTTTTTTTTTGGGGTGGGGTTCTTAAACAATTGCTAGATTAGATTCTGTCGGTGTGCGCCCGGGTCTTGGAGACAGGAGAAGCAGCAGTGGCTCCTCCAGAAGCGTCAGAAGCAGATGGAAAAGGACCGTCAAACTCAAAGCCAACAAAACCTACATGGAGGTTTACGAAATAAGGAACCCCCCAACATAGACCCCTAATAGTAGGATTCCCTCATAATACGGACCCCCCCCCCCCCCCCCCCCCAAATAAGGCATGCACCGCAGATATCAGAATCCCTCCCATAGTATAACGTTCAGGATTGAAGGCCTTCTATCCTTGGCTAAGGAGACGTCTTGTTCTAATATTGAAATGACGGCTTCGCCACCGAACAAATTAGGCTTTAGCGGTTTGGGGAGTTCGGATTTTTTGGGTTGTGGGTTTTTGGGCGGTTCAGGGTTTAGGGTATTCTAACATGCCGGTCAATACCCACATTTCCTCCTTTCTTTGGGCGGGGAGGGGGTGAATTCAGGCCCGTGACATACCCGTTACACATGGCCCTAAACCCTCAACCCTCTAAACTCTAAACCCTAAACACTCTCGCGTCCCGCTCCTCGTTTGCATAGCATATTGGTTTAGCAGATGGCTGAGAGAAACCTGCGCAATCGCCTGTCCTAACAACTTCTTCACCGAAACACCGAAGGATATTGCAACAGTTTGTGCTGCTGTTCTTGGGGGGGTATATGAAGTGTCTGATAAACAAAAAGTGTAGTTCGGATGTCGTTTTGAGGATACCAACGATAAATGCCCTACTTTGTATCACGAATACAACCCCCAGCCCCCAATCTAACCAGCACGCACCAGCCAGGACAAAAAGAAGGCGCGCTTCCGCTCTAGCCTCCCCAGTGGTACCCAAGACAAGCTGGTTAAATAGCAGAACCCTAAACCCTTCTCACCCTAAACCCTAAACCCCAAACCCTTCTCACCCTAAACCCTAAAACCTTCTTTACCAAGAAACCATGAGGAAGCCCGCGTTTGGCCTTTGTGCACATGAGGGATGGGCCCAAAGCCGATCCAACGGCAAACCCTCACTAAACCCCCTCCTGAAGGGTCTAGGGTTTAGGGTTTAGGGTTTAGGGTTTAGGGTTTAGGGTTTGCTGGGTTTAGGGTTTAGGTCTTGGAGCTGCGCCAAACTCGTGGGTCTTGAGCTCTCCAGGGACAAGTTCCTCAAACCTGCTCGGGTTCCCCCAGCCCCACGCCCCAGGCTCCCCATTTAAGGGTTTACAGGGTTTCTAGGATGCCCAGTAGTACCCTTATTCCCTTTTTGGTAGGTTTAGGTTCCCTTATAAACCCCTTTAAGCAAAAAATGGCACCCTTTTTCATCCTAGGTTCCTGGGCAACCTAGGTTTGGGGTCCCTACAAACCCTCCTGAAGCCCCAGACCCTATACCCCGCAAACCGGGGGACCCTTAAACGGGAACCTCAAAACCCTCTTCTGGCTCTCTTAAACAGGGACCTTGTTGAGAGGGTCTTTATCCCCTAAAACAATGTTTTGGGGTTTGGCGGGACACCCCCTGTCTCGAGCTGCCACACCCAAGCCACGCAAGCCACAACTCTGCGGTCAGGTTCGGGGCTCGAAATCTTATAACATATGGGGGCCTTAAGAATTCTTAATAAGTTTTGGGGTTCTGATCGTATAAAATGTAAAGGCCCTAAACCCTAAACCATAAGGGAATACCATTAGTAATTATTCCGATCCCTATATTAGACCTTGCCAGGCCGTGCGGAAGGCTCAGAAGACAAAAGAGGCGATGGTCCGAAAGCTCAAGTGCCAGCCTCAGTCGCATAGAACTGCCCGCGGTTTAGGGTTTAGGGTTTATAGGGTTTAGGGTTTAGGGTTCAGGGTTTAGGGCTTAGGGGATTGCCACTGATCAAACAGTGGGGCTTAGGATTCAAGAACAGTTGGGGACACATTCTGCTGATCTCAAACTCTTCTGACTACCGGTGGATGTTTGAGCTGTCCTGGGGTTGGGGCTGCCAAAACCCTTGGCGACTATGGTTTTGGGGACCTCAAAACCCTAAACCCAAACTTGGATCTTGCAACCGAGCTTATGGGTCCCCTATCACCTATCACTCTTCAATTTTCGGGCGCGCCTGGAGACTCACGGGCCTTTGAGCTTAGGGAGCTAATTGGGTCAGGGATTGAGGGATGGCTTCCCTAAACCTTATAGGCGCTAAACCCTAGCGCTTCCCCTAAGCCCTAAACCCTAAACCTGCGAGGGTTTGGGACCAGCGATCCTAGAATAGGGCCCTGAGAAGCGGCCCGCGATGTTGCTTAAGGTTTTTGTGAAGGGCTACAGGTGGCTCTTGCGCGAAGTGTCCATGTACCTACATAGGGAGAACTTGGGCCTTAAAGTGTTTCCTACCTGGGGGGGGGGGGGGCTTTTGGGGGCACAGGTATATCATCGTATGGTACACAGACCCTAAGGGGGTTGGGGTAAACCCTAAACCCTAAGCCCTAAACCCTAAATCCTAAACCCTCAACCCTATACCGCCTTAAAAAGGTACGAGCAGGCGCGGAAGGAAGCCGAAGCCAAGGGAGAACCACTGCCCGATCCGCCGGAGGCTGCGGAAACTCCTGGCAGGGTGTTAAGAGCATGGTCTGTTCGATTCAAAGTAAGTTGTGTTGCTTGTTTCGTTGGGGGGGGGGGGGGTGGGGGGGAGGGGGTGGCAAATTTTATGGGTCGCCCAGATTCCGATTGTGTTTGCCCACTAATTTCAAGGATTCGCCAGGGTTCCCGAGGTTTGCAGGTACGGATTGGGATGTTCCCCATAATGCTAGCAGTCCTTAATAGGGATTCTACTATGGGTACTATAATCCCTATTACGTATAAGGAACATCCCAAGGTATGGAGCTACAGTGCGCACGGCCACAGATGGTTAGCCGCCTGGGCCTAGTCCGCCTCACTGGCACGCCTCTTGAGACCCGCAAGCTGACCCTGAGTCTCAAACGACCTGCTATGTAACAGGGTTTGCGGTTTAGCGTCAGGGTGATGATTCCCCAGGCACATTCAGACCCCCTTGGTATATAAGACCTGCAACCATCTTCAACACATGCAAACCTGAAATCCCTGTGCGACCGCTCGTTCTTCGATTGCAGCTTGTTTTTTTTTCTGCTTGCAATGCCCAGAGACCAAATGTACGTTGATTTAGGAACATACACATATATACCTTCATGTTAACTCAAGACGTAGAGCCCATCTACTTTTAGGTGCATGTTCCTTCGTTTAAAGGGTCTGGCTTGGCCTGGCAGCTGTTCAGATGGCTGCTTCTGGCGTGCCGAGAGCATTGCAGCATTTCTCGTACCAGTGCCCAGGTTTGCATGACCGCGAGAGCCGAATGTCTGTGAAACCCATGGCATTCCGCACTTTGCTGAGCGAGCCTCGCCAGATTGTGATTCCGCTGTTCCAGCGTACATACTGCTGGAGTGACGAGCAGATCAGCGGCTGGTGGAAGGACATCCTGATGCCCACCACCTCCCTCGGGTACCACCAAACAGGGAAGGCCATCTTTAAGGAGAGAGATGGCCTCCTGGTCTGCATCGACGGGCAGCAGCGGTGCACCACAGCTTCGCTGCTGCTGGCCACGCTGAGGGACGCTGCCCTCAAGCTGCTTCGCGAAGGTGATGCCTGCGCGCGTGCTTTGGTGGACGAGCTCGACGCACTCCTCTTCAAGGACCCCAGTCGCGTTTATACATGGGCAGAGCGCCAGGCACAAGGCTGCAAAGAGGAGGTCCACGATGGGAGTGTCCAGCCTTTTGGGGCCGCGATCCTGACGCCGTCCTTCGAAGACCGCGTGCCCTTCTTTCGAGCTCTCACTGAGGGCATCCTCACGGACGCTCGACTGAAGGCAGGCGTGACTCTGAGCCCTCAAGAGGAGGCCGCCACAAGCTCCCTAGCAGCTGAGTGAGTACACTTTACACTTTTTGGGATACGATCATCCCCTAGAAAACTCAAAGTATACACTTTACACTTTTTGGGGATACCATAACCCCTATACTGTAAAACTGAAAGTGTACACCTTTTTGGGGGGCTTGTGAACTCAGCAACCGAGGCTCAGTCCAGGCGCGCGCGAAAGACATCTTCGACAGGAATCTCCGGCGAGCCCTCCGGCGTCGGCCACTTAGTGGCCCAGTGGTACCCTTCACCCTTTTTTGGGGGTTTAGGGTTTATAGGGTTTAGGGTTTAGGGTTAGGGTTCAGGGTTTAGGGTTAGGGTTAAGGGTTAAGGGTTTAGGGTTTAGGGTTTAGGGTTTAGGGTTTAGGGTTTAGGGTTTAGGGTTCCCTCATAAAATAACCAACCCAAAAAGGGTTTGCCCTTATTGGAGAATATGGTTGCTGGGCTACTAAGGCCAAGGGGCCCTCCACAACGAGAGCTTCTGGCAAGTCTGGCCCAAACGGCCTTAGATGTGATGGCGATAACATTCTGTGAGATCCTGAATGACATCGACTTTCCCCAGGTGGGGGGGTTTCCGAAATTCGGGGTACCTTACTTAGCCTTCTTGGGGTCCTTATGATAATGGAATAGGATCTACCTTGGGGGTCCCCTGTTTATACTACCCTATACCCTAAACCCTTAAACCTGCAGGTGTTCCTGTGGCTCCAGGAGACTTAGTAGCCCAGTCGTGCCCTTTTACTTGTTTTTTGGCTTAAGGTTCCTTTATAAATAAAGTAGCCCTAAACCCTAAACCCTAAACCCTTACTGTAGTATGGTTCCTGGGCTGCCAAGGAGAAGAGCCTTTTCGGAATGGGTGCCCTGCTCCATAACCCGGCTCCTGGTGTGCCTTTCCACGCGGCCGACTTGCTGAGGTAGGGTTCAGGGTTCAGGGTTTAGGGTTTAGGGTTTAGGGTATAGGGTTTAGGGTTTAGGGTTTAGCTCCGAAGCAGCACAGACCCCAACACACCCGCAGAATCTGAGGCGCTTCGAGAAGAATGTCCAGCGTCCATCGGTTTAAAGGTATTTGGGGTTTACAGGGTCTAAGTAATTCCGCCCTACCACACCTGAATGCCTAAAAGAAAGGCCCCCAACGCCTTGCCACACCTGAAACCCTACACCCTAAACCGCCTAAACCACAAGCATGTGACACTCCGACTTTTCACACTGTTCACAGCCGGTCTTCGGGTCGCAGGGTTGTGTTTCGGTTGGAGTCCCCTGGTCGAGGAATCTGGTGTTGGCTCCATCCATGCGACTATCCTTGAGGGACCAAGAGGAGCTCTATCGCAAGCGCTGGCTAGAACCTCTTGAAAGAGCCCATGGAGGGGCTCACAAGCTGGATCCCATACTAGACGCCTTCCTGGCGGAGAAGACGGACAAGCACTGTTCGAAGCGACATGTCTGTGGCTTAGAGCACCATGCTGCTTCCTTCATGAGCTCCCCGGCTGGCGCCGTGGTCTCGGGGAAGACAGACATGTCGGGGGTTCTAAGGTACGCTCGCCTTCTGTCGTATGCGGAGGCTTGTGAGCTGAAACGAAAGGGCCAGGAGCTTCCTGCGGAGGAGCCGGTACCCTTGAGCCAAGAGACCTGCGACCACCTTATTGGCAGTCTTGTCGGCTTCGCCAATAAGCGGCACAAGGGCGTTCCTCCAGTCCCTGTCTTCTCTGCCTCTGACTTGCATAGTCAAGAAGGTGACCGTGCCCTCCAGTGACCGGAAAGATCACAGCGACGTGCCGGACTTGTGTTCCCTGCAAAGGCATGGGAGCGTATGCCAGTTTTCGCCCATGTAGGACTTGCCACTGGGCGTGTGACGTGCTCTCGCGCCCTGTACAGATTCGGAACAGCTTGAGCATCGACATGTGCAGGCCTGGGTTGCTTTGTACCTGCTTGCTTTGGTTCGCAGGCGTGGTAAACTTAGCTACTCCCAAATGAATTGCAACTTGTTGAATGCTTGGGCGCAAACCAGGCTCAGATTTTGTCTCGTTGGCATTTCGCTGCGATGCTGCGCGTGCAGGCACACATCGGTTGCGCTCATACAGACATGCGCGCCGCAGCAAAGAACGAGGGTTCTAAACCCCTGAAATTCCTGAAGTCCCTTAAGCCCTGATATCTCTGAAGTCCTGTGGCCTGAGGCCTATACTCTAAACCTGAATGCCTAAACTCTCAAGACCCTATTCCACATACCCTTACCTCCCCCGAGGTGAGTACACTTGGGAGTTTCCAAAGTGAGTGTCCCCCTGTAGATGCCCGCAAAACGGAGCCGAATCTCCTTCACAGGGACCTCCCCAAAAAGGGTTTACACAGGCTTGAGGCTTTAGGCAGTGGGTTTAGGGTTTAGGGTTTAGGGTTTAGGGTTTAGGGTTTAGGGTTAGGGGTTAGGGGTTTGGGTTTCGGGCAAGGGTCGGTGATTTATGAGAAGCCCCGCCTGCAGCGTTGGGAGCGCCCCGAAGGAGGAGAAGGATGACGAGGAGGAGGAAGATGACGCCACCGCGCCGCAGTAATTCTCGGGGTTTCCAAAAGGTCCCTAAGGGTCCATGTACCTAAATAGGGAATACTTGGGCCTTAAAGTACCTCCGATTCAGGGACTTTAGGGCCCAAGTACATGATTATGAGGTACATGGACCCTTAGGGGGTTATATCGACCGGTATGACTCTCACAGGGGACCGTAAGAGGACCCCATAGCAGGAAGCAAACAGCAAGGGAGGTCTCCCAATGCATATCGGGCTCTCAGAGTGGTCTCCGGCGCTGTAAAGGCCAAAGAAACCCCAAGCCCTAAAGCCCTAAGACCCTCAAGCCCTAAACCCTACAGCCCTAAGACCCCAAAACCGTAAACCCTCAACCCTATACCCTGAAACCCTAAAGCCTTAAAACCCTAAAACCCTAAAACCCTAAAACCCTAAAACCCTAAAACCCTAAAACCCTAAAACCCTAAAACCCTAAAACCCTAAAACCCTAAAACCCTCAACCCTATACCCTAAAACTCTAAATGCCCCAAACCCTGTACCCTAGAACCCTACAGCCCCAAAACCCTAAACCCTCAACCCTAAAACCTAAAACCCTAAAGCCCTAAACCCTAGAACCCTATACCCTATATACCCTAAAGCCCTACGACCCTAAAACCCTAAAGCCCTAAATACTAAAGCCCTAAAACCCTATACCCTCAACCCTAAAGCCCTAAAACCCTAAAGCCCTAAAACCCTAAAACCCTAACCCCATACCGCCAACTTGGTCAAATCTTTTCAGCGCGTCAGGAAGGGAAGGGGCAGCCGGACCTGGTTTCTCTTTGCAGCTTTCTTCGCAATTTGGGTAAGGCCGACCTCGAGGCAGCAGGTGGAGCTTGGATTGTCATGGAGCCCAACACGGCAATCATCGTGCCTGCCGGCTGGGTGTTCATTGCAGGGGCGCCAGAAGGATCTGCCACACATACCCTAAAGCCCTAAACCCCTAAAACCCTAAACCCTAAACCCCAAACCCTAAACCCTAAACCCTAAACCCCAAACCCTAAACCCTAAACCCTAAACCCTAACCCTAAACCCTAAACCCTATACCCTAAAACCCTAAACCCTAACCCTAAACCCTAAACCCCAAACCCTAAACCCTCAACCCTAAAGCCCTAAACCCTAAACCCTCAACCCTAACCCTAAACCCTAAACCCTATACCCTAAAACCCTAAAACCCTAAACCCTAACCCTAAACCCTAAACCCCAAGCCCTAAACCCTAAACCCCAAACCCTGTGAGGATTTAGGGCTTACCCCACTCCTAGGAAGCGGACGACCCCGAGCCCATGGAGCAGGAGCCGCCTGCGGTGGAGTTCCAAGGCAGCAGTTTGGTTGGGGTTTAGGGTTTAGGGTTTAGGGCTCAGGGTTTAGGGTTTAGGATTTAGGTTTAGGGGTTTAGTTTGGGGTGTAGGGTTTAGGGTTTAGGGTTCAGGGTTTCGGGTTTAGGGCTTAGGGATCAGGGATTAGTCGGCCCCCTGGGGCTTCTGTCATAGGGTCCTTCAAAGAGGGGCGATTAAGGGGGGGGGGCGGGGGGTAAGTACCTAGGGAAGCAGAAGCTTAGGGAGAGGCTTTATAGGGAGTAGGTAGCCCTAAACTAAACCCTATAAACCCTAGACCCTAAACCCGAAACCCGAAACCCGAAGCCCAGGCCCTAAACCCTACACCCCTAAGAACCCTCCAAGGGTAGTTGCATGGGGCCTTAACATGGTCCCTTACCTCCGTTCAAGGGTTCTAACGTATGGCCCCTTCGGCTTTCCAGGGTTTCTTAAAGCATACAACTACCCTAAACCCTATATGGTCAGTTCTCCAAAGTGGGGTCCCTTGTTTGGATACCCTAAATACGAGAGGCCGCCTTACAGCAAGGACCCCAAAAAGGACCATACTTTTGAGAAATCACCATACCAAACTTGAAGTTTCGGACTCGAATTCTTTGAGTCGACAGATCAAAGGGTTTCCGACAAAGTTGGGATCCCTTTTTTGTTGAGAAAGGAATATCGATGTTCTAGTGTGGGGTTTACAGGGAGGCTGTAGATACCCCCCCCCCCCCCCCCCCACCGGAAACCCTAAACCCTGGACCCTCCCTATTTTTTGGAACTATCTAAGGCTGACTGAGGAGGAGAAGTCGAGGACCGGGGGCCTGGCAGTGGTCTTTTCCCACTTTCTGGTTCTTGTGTTTATAGCATTTAGGGTTCAGGGTTGAGGGTTTTAGGATTTTGGGCTTGGGGGGAGAAAAGGGTGCTCTATGTAAGGCTTTCAAGGGTTCTGTAATTCAACGGGTGTGCTAATAAATTTGAGGACACTGAATTCCCGAGATCCGCAGGAAGAACTACGAAGCTCCAATTTTGTCCTAGACCCTTTGGGTCTAAGCATGGACACTTTGGACCACCCACACCCCCCTCCCCCGCCCCCTCAACCGGCGCAAAAAAAAAAAACGGAGCCGCTCTTGGCATGGTCCCGGCAGGTCCTGTATCTGAGGTGTTCTAGGTCCCCCCCAAAAAAGCATAATCCTACGAGTTGACCTCTGGGAATGAGCGTGGATTTTGTGTCAGCTGGAGTCTAGAGGGGTTGGCGTTCCGGGTTTTCGTGGCTTTGGGTTCTGTGGGGGCCCAAAATGAATAAAGTGATGAACAGGGAGCTGCCACAAAGGCTGTGTGTTGAAGGCCATGCACGCCACATCCGCCTATGATCTTACTTTTCCTACGCTTGTACCCTAAGCCCTACGCGCTCAACTAGATCCTGAACCCATTTCTGCATGAGGGCACCTGTCTTATCCAACCTTTTTTCGTTCCAACTTTTTCCCGCTGCTGTTAATGTATCAATTTGCCAATATACCTCTCGATCTGAGCATTTGTCACCAGTTCATTCGCCTCAGGCGTCTCACAGCTTGTGTATGAGTGCATAGAGACATGCTGTGATGCATCTTGAATTCTTTGCGAAGACACCGCTTCAGCTAAAACCTGCAATATAGGGGTCGGAATAATTTCCAATCGTATTCCCTTATGGTCTCTTTATGATTTTTCTATAATAACCCCCACAACCCTATTCTAATTCTTTAGGCTCCTGTATTCTAATGTTGGACCCTCTTTAGTGTGTTGGGCCCCCCGCCCCCCCCCCCCCCCTGAACAGTTGAGGCGTGGATGGGAGCCTGATTACACGGCCCCGGGGGCTTATATGATTTCAATAGGGAGGAGTTTAGATAGCTTTTTTAGGGGCAGCGATGCCCGGTTATCTTTTTTAAAGGCGCGCCACGTGGAATTTTCTTACGGCGCCCGGACGGTTTGACTTTAAAGGAGACCCCGCAAACAGTCAGGGGGTCCGGAATAATTTGGCCAAATTGACTTTAAAGGGGAGGCCCCTACTAAAGCGGGTCTAACATTACTTGATGAGAATTGCATGCACCCAGCTCCTGTCGCAGGTGGTTCTGCAAGGGTCCTGTACCCGACTTGACAATCTACATGCTGACGCTTCGTGGGCATTGGGAGTTTACGAAAATAAGCGACCCCAAGTATAGAACCCCAAATAGTAGGATCCCCTTAAAATAAGGACTATCCCTAAATTCAAGGATTCCCTTACACTGAGGACTCCAATAAGGTACTTGATCAGCTCCGCCTTGCGTATGTCAGGGTTTAGGGTTTAGGGTTTAGGGTTTAGGGTTTAGGGTTTAGGGGTTAGGGGTTAGGGTTTAGGGTTTAGGGTGATTTACCTTTTCTTGCTCCGAGGGCCTTGGCAAACTTTCAGAAGTGTATGGAAAGTTCTCCAAAGTTAGGTTCCCTTTTTGGGTTCCGGTACAACCCTAAACCCTAAACCCTAAACCCCTTCTTGGGTCCCTATATAAGCACCGAGCGGCTTTCAGGGCTGGGGTCCACAGACTCCTCAATCGCGATGGGGGCTTAGGTTTTAGGGTTTAGGGTTTAGGGTGTAGGGTTTAGGGTTTGGGGTTTGGGGTTTAGGGTTCAAGCTTTAGGGTTTAGGGTTTGGGGTTTGGGGTTTAGGGTTTAGGGTTTGGGGTTTGGGGTTTAGGGTTTAGGGTTTAGGGAATTATGTAGGGACTACGCCACGAGGGGGGTGTAGGGTTTAGGGTTCAAACCTTGGTATCCCCGTGGTACCCTTTTTCCTCATTTTGGTTCACGGTTCCCTTATAACCCTGATACAAATTAGTTTACTGGGCTACCGATAGACCCTGCCTGGAGTCACCTCATGACGGTGCCCTT